GGCGTCCGGGAGAGGGCGTCCCGGCAGGGAGGGCGTCCAGGAGAGGGCGTCCCGGCAGGGAGGGCATCCGGGAGAGAGGGCATCCTGGCAGGGAGGGCGTCCGGGAGAGAGGGCGTCCCGGCAGGGAGGGTGTCCGGGAGGGAGGGCGTCCGGGAGAGGGCGTCCAGGAGAGGGCGTCCCGGCAGGGAGGGCGTCCCGGCAGGGAGGGCGTCCGGGAGAGAGGGCGTCCTGGCAGGGAGGGCGTCCGGGAGAGAGGGCGTCCTGGCAGGGAGGGCGTCCTGGCAGGGAGGGCGTCCGGGAGAGAGGGCATCCCAGCAGGGCGGGCGTCTGGGAGAGATGGCGTCCCGGCAGGGAGGGTGTCCTGGCAGGGAGGGTGTCCTGGCAGGGCAGGCGTCCGGGAGAGAGGGCGTCCCGGCAGGGAGGGCGTCCGGGAGAGGGCGTCCCGGCAGGGAGGGCGTCCGGCAGGGCGGGCGTTCTGGCAGTGAGGTCAGTCCGGCAGGAACGTCAGTCCGGTCGGGAGGTCAGTCTGGCAGGGCGGGCGTCCGGCAGGGAGGTCAGTCTCCAGGGAGGGTGCCCCGGCAGGGAGGTCGGTCCGGCAGGGAGGGCGTCCGGCAGGCCTGCTGTCTCCCCCTTCAGGCCTGTCCGCCTGACCCCGCGGACCCCTTGCTACCCTGCTGGGCGTGCTGGGCCACACTTAAGCTGGCTTGGAACTGGGGCCTCCCTCTGCTTCCAGCAGGCCAGGTGGCCTGGGGGGGGGGATGGAAATGAGAGTCTCGCCCCGTCATTTTCTCTTTGAGTGAGCGGGAGGGAAGCTGGGCTTTCGCGCCCAGCACGGTGAGCGCCCACGCCGGATGCGTGGATGCTGGCTCGCAGCTGCTGTTATTTCTGTTTGTTTACTTCTGCATGTTCCTCCTTGGAGAGGGACAGAAACAGCAAAAGCGTTTCGAGCGAGCAGAGTGGTCAGGCTGTCGGGCCAGGGGGCTTTTGTTGCTCTGAAGCTCCGACGCCAGATGGCTTTGACGCTTTGCGTGTGTGACACTGAGCCAGAGTCGCGAAGGGTGTCGGTGTGGACGGTCGCTGCTGACGGTGGGCTGTGCTGCCACTGTCCCCGGGGACTGGTGGGCGCCGCGGAGCAGCTCACGTGACCTGCGCGTGGCGTTTCTGTGCGGCCCCAGGCGCCGGGCAGAGTGAGAACAGCACCTCGGTCACTTCCACGTTGGTCGCATGTTGAGAGCTCAGGAGCTTGCAAATACCACTTTAAGCCGTCCTTAGCATGAGACACCGGGGGTGAGGACGCAGCCCTGCAAGCTGGCTTCAGCCGCCTCAGTGTGAGTTCGACCCCCGGCCAGGGAGTGACCCCCAGGGTACAGCAGACCCCTCCTGTCTCCCTGCGGCTCCCTCAGCAGTGGACTTCATCCATCTGCCTGTTCTGCTCCCTGCTCTGTCTCTGGTGAAGCCTCTCACCGCCCCGCCCCTCTGGCCGGTAGCCCAGTTCTGCATGCATAAAATAAATAAATCTTTAAAAAAGAGAGAGGGGGCCCTCCTTGGTGGTGCAACGAGTTAGAACTCAGCACTGCAAGCTAACGCAGTCACTGCAGCATGAGCTCGATCCTGGGCGCGTCACGGAGTCCCCCTTCTCTGGTCCTGTCGCCACCAGCCTAACTGCATGCACATTTGTTGGTATTTGCAGAGGAGTAAAATAACCAACGCTGATGATGAAACAGTTGGAGGCTGGAGGGCCGGGAGATTTCTGGCCTTTGGATGATGCGTCTTGTCTTTGGAGAGAAGAGAAGGTGGAACCCGCGGGCGGGCGGCATCCGGGTCTTCCTGGTTTGGTGTATTTGGAGGGAGCAGTGTCGCTGTGGAAGCGCGAGTTCCGTGGCGCTGAGCTCTGTTCCTGGGTCCCGTTACCCTGCCGTCAGCCCTCCTGCGCTCTTAGGAAGGGACCGGGCAGGCAGGGAAGGCGCTCTCCCTGGCCCCATTCCCTGCCTCAGTGTGAGTTTGTGTGCTTGTGCAGCTACTGAACTGGGGTGCAGGCCGGAGGTGCAGGGGTGGTGAGAGGACTCCCCAGAGACAGAGTGGGGAACAGCACAGGCCGACTGAAGAAGCACACTGCTGAGGGGAGCAGCGGGGATTCAGGAGGGGGCTGCCGCCCTGGAGGTCACCTCCGGGGCCGGGGATCGAACTCGCACTTGAGCGGCTGCGGCCGGCTTGCGGTGCTGTGCTCTAACCCGCTGCACCACCGGGGAGGACCGCAAGATAGTCTGAACATTCGCTTCTAGGTGAGTAAGTCTTCAGAATACGTGAGACGAGATCACGGGTTTAGTTCCGAATAGTTGCGTCTCACGCTTACAGCAAGAAAGCTGTGCTATCTGCCGCGAACCCGAAACATGAGACCCTGGAGAGCCTTTTGCCTCCTGACGGCCGGTGTGGGCGGCTGGGGACCACACAGCACTTAGCTCCAAAGAAACACAGCGGGGACTCCAGGATGCCCAGACCGTTCTTAAAGGCCTTTGCCCCGGAGCCTTTCTGTGACGGCAGAGGAGTGACTGTGACACGATAGAATCCGCACCCCAACCTGCTGCTGAAGAAATCGGCACGCTTTTCCGGGCCTGCACCCACTGGCGCATCTTTGATTAAAATGCAAACCTGCAATTCCACAGCCTACTAAAATTGGAGCTACAGTACCAGTCAGCAATTCCACGCCTAGGGAATCCACCCAAAGAACACAACATTCATGCAGAAGGATACATAAGCCCTTGTGTTTATGGCAGTGCTACTTACAACAGGTAAATCCTGGAACCGGATCAAGAAGCTGGGGTGTATATATATACACAAATATATATATATATATATGAATACACAC